GGCTACCTGTGGTCCCCACCGAGCCCAGCTCATTCCTGACAAACCGGTGCAATCTCCAGCCGCTGTGAACCCCTTCTCCACGGGGAAATAGGTCCCTGTGCCTCCCAAGCTAGTAACCAGACACCCCAAGTTTGCGGGCGCTTGAGTAGCAGTGGTCCTGAGGATTAAGTCTCAAGTTAATGGACTTGTTTTATGTCTTGAGACAGGGTCTCACTGTGTAGTCTTGGAACTCTACGTAGCCCAGGCTAGCCTCGACCTGTGTGCGTATAGCCTAGGATGACTATAACCCAGATCCTGCCTCCACCTTCCGAGTGCCAGGATGACAGGCTGGTGTCACCACAGCTAGTTCTATTTGTGGTTTGGGGATCCCCCTACGGCTTTAGCCTGGTGTAGGTTAGAGGGCACTGCTGAGTGCCATCCCCTATCCCGTCACAGCCCGGATCAGGTGCTCAGAGCAGACGGGCCCGGCCAAGTTCACGGTCCTCAGCTCTTGACCATACTTGGTCAAGACATGACCTCGCTATTAATAACCCTGTGGGGAGCCGGCGACGAGGCTATAAAGCCAAGCCCGCCAGCCCCAGCGGCTCCTTCAACCCCTGAGATCTTAAAAGTAAGTACCCAACCACCTCCCTTCCTTGGCCCTCACCCAGGCTTCATGCGGCCGTGGTGACCCCAAAAAGTCAAAGAATTGTGTTAAAACGAAGGATGAATGAAACACAGACCCCGACAGTCCCCAGTGGCTTCTGGGACAAGGGGTGGAAGGGGAAAGGCAACATGTGACAGGGTGCAGAGCCAGGGACACCCCCATCCCACCCAAGTGACCCCAAGAATGCATGCATGTCTTGGTGTGGGTGGTGAACAGCTGGGGACCCACAGAGGAACTCCCTCTGTCCCCAACCCCAGCTCTCCTGGAGGTCCGCTGCTCCCTGGACTCCTGGAGTTCAGTCATCTGTATTTTGGTTTGTTTTTTCCGAGACAGGATTTCTCTAAGTAGCCCTGGCTGTTCTGGAACTCACTCTGTAGACCAGGCTGGCCTTGAACTCAGAGATCTCCCGCCTCTGCCTCCTGAGTGCTGGGATCAAAGGTGTGCGCCACTCCACCTGGCTAAAGGCATTTTGAGGCTGTCCCACATACATAGATGGGACCCTAAGGTGTGTCCCCAATCCCACCTCTGTCCCCTAGCCCCAGACCTCCTGGCTGGAGAGGCGAGGGGTGAGACATTCATCTCTCCGACCACTTGCAGTCTCTAGAGCCGGCATGGTGGATCTGGGGGTGGGGGGGTGGTGACGTGGGGACATCTACAGCCGGTAGCTTCTACCTCCTCCTGCCAGCCCCTCCCCTCTGGCCTTGGCTGGTCCTCCACTCAGCTCCGGGGATGCCCCCCCTTCTCGGGCCCTCGGGGACCCGATGTCTGGAGTGCAGTGCCCTTTGCAGGTGCTGGTGTTGGCCCAGGTGGGGCCCTGGGTTGTAAGTGCTGACTGAGAACTCTGCTGAGTGTGAGCTGATGCCGGCGACAGGTGGCCATGCTGACGCCCGCCTCCAGGTCCTGATCAGATGGTCACCTCAGCTTCTGTGCCTGGTCATCAGGGCTTGGGGTGTGTAGGGTGGGGTGGGGTGACAGTCCTAGGGTTGAGTGGTGGGGCAGGGCACTTGGGTCCTCTGAGCTGGGAAGTCGGTCCTGTGGATAAAGGATGTGTGTGATGTGTGAGGATGTGTGAGGGTCCGGGTTCAAATCCCCAGGACTTAAGTAAAGCTGGGCACAGTGGTTCCTACGGCGAGATGGCAGGTGGAGACGGGGGATCCAGGCAGGGGACCTTATATATGGCCAGTTCCTCGGGACTGTGGATGACTTAGCTGAACTCCAGGGCTCGTGAGTGTCCAGGTCAGCACGTGACCCACACTGGAGACAGAGGAGCCTCGGACTCATTATGTGGGGATGTCTGGCTGGATGTTCTGTGTGGGGTGTCCTGAGCTCTGGAGGGCACTGAGCAGTGCCCCTGACTCCACCCACTCTGTGCCTGGGGCTCCCCTAATGTGACATGTGTCTCCAGACATCACAGGACCCTCGGGAGGACACAGCCACTAACCTGAGGGTTTTGTTTTTGTTTTTTTGTTTTTTGAGACAAGGTCTTATGTAGCCCAGGCTGGCCTCCAACTCACTATGTAGCCAAGAAGGACTTTGACATCTTGATCCTCCTGCCTCAGCCTCCCAGTGAGTGCTAGGGTGATAGACTTGTGTCAAAATGCCCAGCCTGAGCCCACCTTTCCATAACAGACCTTGGACAGGGACTTAGCATCCTCAGCCACAAAGAGGGATGGATCCACTCACTGCTGCTCTGGGCTGCGATATCAGGGTGTCCTGTGTCTGTCCGGGCTGTCCCATCCCTCAGTTAAGAATGCTGATGACGTCTGGGGTGTTTGTGGGGAGCTTGTGTCAGTGTGGGTGGTAGGAGAAGCCCACATCTCTAAACAATGTCTAGTTCTTCTAGGACAAGGTTGGAGTAGGTGGTTGTCCCTGGGACCCTCCCATCTGGGAAGGCTGTGAGGGACTTTCCCAGCAGGGCGGGATGCACAGTGAGGCCGTTTGCCCAGCAGGGGAAGGCCACAGATCTGGGTTCAGATCCTGAGTCTGCCGAGTGACCCTGAGCAAGCACCTTTCCCTTATGGGCTCTGCAGATACGGGACATGCAATGACCCAATCTTAAAACACAGGACTCCCCCCCCCCCCCCCGCCTCAGTGTGCTGAGGGCAAGGGGGTTCCCCAGGACACTGGACCTCCAGGGTTAAAATGAGGAATGTTCTGGGGAGACTGAGCAAGCTGCTCTCAGCATTTAAAAACGTTCTTGTTACATTGTGTGTGCATGGGTTAGGTGTGCTATGTGTGGATGTGTGTTTGTGCTCCGTTTTTCACATTGTGTGTGATGTTTTGCACATTGTGTGGGATGTTTTGCCTGCATTTTGGTCTGTGCACCACATGTGTGCCATTCCCAAAGAGGCCAGAAGGGGGCGTCCTGTCCCCTGGAGCTGGAGTTATGGATGGTTGTGAGCTGCCATGTGGGTACTGGGGACCAGACCACCCCCCCCCCCCCGGTTCTCTGCAGGAGCAGCCGCTGCGCTAACCACTGAACGATTGCTTCAGCTGCCTAGTTCATTCTTTATTCTGTGAATCCTGTTCAGGCTGCCCGAGTAGCCAGGCAGGAATCTGGCTGCCCTGAAGCCACCTCTCCCGTGTCCCTGTCTCATGCTGAACTATTTTGGGGCCGTGACCAGCAGAGGAGTCTGGCCACAGAGCGTGCCTGGGACAAAGGCCGAGCGTTGGCAAGTGTGACAAGATGCTCCAGTCCCTACACGTCACGGAGGCTTCAGCTTAAGCTGTGAGCCTGAAACTCTTCCCACCCCATGTTGGTCACATGACCTCTGCAGAGCGGGAGAAGGCAGATGTCTAGTCTCAAAATACTGGGGCAGGATGAACCGGGGGAAGGGAAAAGTGTACTGAAGGCAGGATCAGGGTTCAAGACCAACCTGAGCTACAGGAGCCCTTATCCCAAAACAAATCAAAGCAAATCATCCTTAAGTTTGACGTCTGTAAAATTTAAGTGTTAGAAAATGGAATTCAAAAGCCAAGATGTGGTGGCGCATGCCCTTAATCCCAGCACTCAGGAGGCAGAAGCAGGGGATCTCTGTGAGTTCGAGGCCAGCCTGGTCTACAGAGTGAGTTCCAGGACAGCCAGGGCTACACAGAGAAACCCTGTCTCGAAAAACAAAGCACAAAAAAAGGAAAAAGAAAATGGAATTCATAATTTATTTTATTAGTTTTTGTATTATTTTATTTTCAGACAGAGTTTCATGTAGACAGAGGCCTTGGACTTGCTGTTTTATAGAGCATTACTACCCACCGCCCATCCACCCATCCATCCACCCATCCATCCATCACCCATCCATCCATCCACCCATCCATCCATCCGTCCATCCATCCACCCATCCACCATCCGTCCATCCGTCCATCCATCCATCCATCCACCCACCCACCCACCCACCCATCCGTCCATCCATCCATCCATCCACCATCCGTCCGTCCATCCACCCGTCCATCCATCCATCCATCCATCCATCCACCATCCGTCCGTCCGTCCATCCGTCCATCCACCCGTCCGTCCGTCCATCCGTCCATCCATCCACCCACCCATCCATCCATCCATCCATCCATCCACCCACCCACCCATCCATCCATCCGTTCACTGTAGCATTTTTCCTGTTATGTATATAACGTTTTTTCTGTTTGGGATTCTGTCATTGCAATTCCACAGGTGGCCATGAGGTGTCGCGCTCAGGCCAAGGAATGGACTCTCTGGAGCCCTCTCCCCCCACATTCACATCAAGCATCCCCAAGAAGCTCTGGGCTTCAGTTCCCCTTTTCATGAAGTGAAAACAAGTAATAAAACGTCACACGGAGGCGCAGGCTCAGGAGGTGTCTGGTTGTGAGAGAGGGACACGCTAGACTCCAGACCAGTAGGTGTGTGCCTTGTGGCTACCATGGGAGATTCTGGATAACCTTACAAAGTGAGAACTGACTTCGGTCCTAGAACAAGTTAGGGGAGGCTGGATGAGAGAGCGAAGGTCTCGGGACTCCCTCAAGAACTCTAGAATCTCAGCCTTCTCGGGCAGAGCAGCAATCCTGGCTGGACATACCACCTTGCTGTGTGACCGTGGCTACAACAGGCAACCTCTCTGTGCCTGTCTAGATTAGAGATGGTTTCCCTCCTCAGCCAAGGTCATAGGATATGTCTCCGTTGGGGAAACTGAGGCACATTAACGAGGTTACAGACAAGCGGAGGCTGGCAGTGTCCAGTGCCCTCGGCCTCAACCCCGGAGGCCACCAGGGGCCCGCAGAGGGTGCGGAGGGAGGGTCGGCTCCTCCACTCAGAGACCACACAGGGAACCAGGGGCTGAAAAACGGTCCAGTTTAATACAGAGCTGCTACAGTCTCAGGCGTGTCCCCGCCCGGTGTTGGGGGCACCCCCTCCTATGTAAGGTCCCCCCGAGGGGAACATGCGCAGCGCAGCCCGGTTGCTCCTCACGGCCCCTGGGGTCTGGAGCCGCACCCGGGTTCCGGCATCTGGCTAGGACCGGTTTAGCAGTCTGTTCTGAATGTCCTCCAGAACCTCTCGGGAGAGTTCCTCTCGGGACTTCGTGCCATCTAAATAAACTGGAGCCGGAAAGGGCCTGGGTCAGGGCCGGGCTCAGGTAGGGGTGTGTGGGGAGCCGTGGGAGAGGCGGGGAGGCAGACCCCGACGGACGCAGGCTTCCCGGCGGCCGGTGCGCAGGCCTGCGGCTTACCCACGTCCACCCCGTCCTGCTCCATCTCCCGTTTATACTTCTGGTACATGGGCCACACGTGACCGTCAAAGAGCCCGGGGGGATCGGGGACCGTGTAGCGGCGGTTACTGGAGCGAGAGACGGAGGCGCCGGCCGTCAGCGCAGGCCGGTGCTCCGCAGGCCCCGGGACCCCCGACGGGCCCTGGGAGGGGGGCGCAGCCCCGGGCCCAGGCTGTGGCTGCAGCACCCCCGACCTGCACGCCCTCCGGGGAAGGGTGGGTGTGGGCGGCGCCCAGGCCTGGGGCCCTGGGCTCCTGGGGTCACTGGGGTCATAGAGCAGGGGTCACCGCGGAGGCCCCGCCCGTGCCCCGTGGACACCCCCGTGTCCCTCACAACCCACCTCCTCCTCCGCTTGCATTCCTCATACGGGACGGTCAGGAAGTAGCGATGGCTGTACATGTCCACCAGGGGCCTGGCCGGGGAGGGGCACGTCAGCGGACCTCCCCTCTGCGCCCCTCCCCTCGTCTCCCAGGTGCAGCCTGGGACCCCAGCTCGCCCGGGTTCTCGGGGCCGCCGCGGCGGACCCGGCTTACATGTAGCTGTACAGTAGGAAGCCGTCGAGGAGGAGGATGTGCGTGTCCGAGGCGCCGGGCTGGAGGCTGACGCCGTGAGCGCGCGCGAACTTGCGTGGGTCCTTCACCCAGGCGCGCACTGTGCTGAGCATGGCCTCCATGTCCAGGGACTCGAGCACTGGGGGGCAGACCGTGGGGTTCAGATGGGGCCACATCACAGGGCTCGGTGGGGGGAGACAGACGGGGCGGGCGCGGGGAGATAGACGGGGTGGGGGGACAGACGGGGTGGGTGGACAGACGGGGTGGAGGGACAGACGGGGTGGGTGGACAGACGGGGTGGAGGGACAGACGGGGTGGAGGGACAGACGGGGTGGAGGGACAGACGGGGTGGGGGGACAGACGGGGTGGGGGGACAGACGGGGTGGAGGGACAGACGGGGTGGAGGGACAGACGGGGTGGGTGGACAGACAGGGTGGAGGGACAGACGGGGTGGAGGGACAGACGGGGTGGGTGGACAGACGGGGTGGGGGGACAGACGGGGTGGGTGGACAGACGGGGTGGAGGGACAGACGGGGTGGGGGGACAGACGGGGTGGAGGGACAGACGGGGTGGAGGGACAGACGGGGTGGGTGGACAGACGGGGTGGGTGGACAGACGGGGTGGGTGGACAGACGGGGTGGAGGGACAGACGGGGTGGAGGGACAGACGGGGTGGGGGGACAGACGGGGTGGGGGGACAGACGGGGTGGAGGGACAGACGGGGTGGAGGGACAGACGGGGTGGGTGGGCAGACGGGGTGGAGGGACAGACGGGGTGGAGGGACAGACGGGGTGGGTGGACAGACGGGGTGGGTGGACAGACGGGGTGGGGGGACAGACGGGGTGGAGGGACAGACGGGGTGGGTGGACAGACGGGGTGGGTGGACAGACGGGGTGGGTGGACAGACGGGGTGGAGGGACAGACGGGGTGGAGGGACAGACGGGGTGGGGGGACAGACGGGGTGGGGGGACAGACGGGGTGGAGGGACAGACGGGGTGGGGGGACAGACGGGGTGGGTGGACAGACGGGGTGGAGGGACAGACGGGGTGGAGGGACAGACGGGGTGGAGGGACAGACGGGGTGGAGGGACAGACGGGGTGGAGGGACAGACGGGGTGGGTGGGCAGACGGGGTGGGTGGGCAGATGGAATGGGGCGACAGACGAGGGGGGGGACAGGCTGGGGGATGGGCAGACGAGGGGGGGACAGGCTGGGGGATGGGCAGACGGGGGGGGACAGGCTGGGGGATGGGCAGACGACGGGGGGCGCTTACCGTCCCACTGTTTGAAGCCGTCTTCTCCAACTGCTATTTGGTCCTGGGGCTGAAACACAGGACCCCGAGGCTTAGGCCTGCGCCCGCCCAGCCCCCCTCAGCCCTCTGGGAGCCTCTGGGGCTGCCCCGGGTGAGCCTGGGGGAGCTGGGGGTCCCGAGCGGGTGAGCCTGGGGGAGCTGGGGGTCCCGAGCGGGTGAGCCTGGGGGAGCTGGGGGTCCCGAGCGGGTGAGCCTGGGGGAGCTGGGGGATCCCCAGCGGGTGAGCCTGGGGGAGCTGGGGGTCCCCAGCGGGTGAGCCTGGGGGAGCTGGGGGTCCTGAGCGGGTGAGCCTGGGGGAGCTGGGGGTCCCCAGCAGGTGAGCCTGGGGAGCTGGGGGTCCCGAGCGGGTGAGCCTGGGGGAGCTGGGGGTCCCGAGCGGGTGAGCCTGGGGGAGCTGGGGGTCCCGAGCGGGTGAGCCTGGGGGAGCTGGGGGTCCTGAGCGGGTGAGCCTGGGGGAGCTGGGGGTCCCCAGCAGGTGAGCCTGGGGGAGCTGGGGGTCCCGAGCGGGTGAGCCTGGGGGAGCTGGGGGATCCCCAGCGGGTGAGCCTGGGGGAGCTGGGGGTCCTGAGCGGGTGAGCCTGGGGGAGCTGGGGGTCCCGAGCGGGTGAGCCTGGGGGAGCTGGGGGTCCCGAGCGGGTGAGCCTGGGGGAGCTGGGGGTCCCGAGCGGGTGGAGGTTGGGGACTCTCCCTGCCGTTGCCAGTCACGCCCCCCTGCTGAGCCCACCGCACAGAAGGGAAAGCAGAGGCACCGAGGTCATGGGCCACAGCGAGGCCTCCATCAGCCTAAGGGGTCCCGGGCACGGGGGACCGAGACCCTCGGGGACATCAGGCCGATGAGATCGCCCGGCCCCGCGTCCCCTCCAGCCCCACCCCCGCCCGGGCGGCCACCTTGAAGAAATCATCCTGGTGAATCACGCAGCTGTTGGGCAGCGCCCTGTGGAGGCGGCTGGTCAGGGTGCTCTTCCCGCCGTTGGTCATGCTGCAAGGGCACATCGTGAGGCCTGAGCACGCCCCACTGGGCTGCGCCAGCCTGGACGGGTGGTGTGTGCGTGCGTGTGAGTGTCTGTGCACGTGTGTGTCTGTGCATTCGTGTGTCTGTGTCTGCGTGTGTGCATGTGTGTGTGAGTGCATGCATGTGAGCGTGTATCTGTGCATGCATGTGTGTCTGCATGTGTGTGTGTGTGTGTGTGTGTGTGTGTGTGTGTGTGTGAGAAGACAATTTACAGGGATCAAGTCTCCCCTCCCACCGGGGATTGAACTTGAGCCATCAGGCTTCACCCACTGAGCCATCTACTGGCCTAAGCAATGTATTTCTTAATTAGCCCAACAAACTAGGTCTGGTGGTAAATATCTGTCTACACCCGCAGCGCTGAGAAAGCAGAATGGACATGAGTTCAAAGGCAGCCTGGACAACTTTGCCCAGTCTGTTTCAAAATGCAAAGTAAAAACATGGACAGGGGGCGTGGTCAGGGTGGAGCCCCGCCCAGAATCCCCCAGTGAGGGGCTGGGGGCGTGGTCAGGGTGGAGCCCCGCCTAGAATCCCCAGTGAGGGGCTGGGGGCGTGGTCAGGGTGGAGCCCCGCCCAGAATCCCCAGTGAGGGGCTGGGGGCGTGGTCGGGGTGGAACCCCGCCTAGAATCCCCAGTGAGGGGCTGGGGGCGTGGTCAGGGTGAGGCCCCGCCCAGAATCCTCCAGTGAGGGGCTGGGGGCGTGGTCAGGGTGAGGCCCCGCCCAGAATCCCCAGTGAGGGGCTGGGGGCGTGGTCAGGGTGGAGCCCCGCCTAGAATCCCCAGTGAGGGGCTGGGGGCGTGGTCAGGGTGGAGCCCCGCCTAGAATCCCCAGTGAGGGGCTGGGGGCGTGGTCAGGGTGGAGCCCCGCCCAGAATCCCCAGTGAGGGGCTGGGGGCGTGGTCAGGGTGAGGCCCCGCCCAGAATCCCCAGTGAGGGGCTGGGGGCGTGGTCAGGGTGAGGCCCCGCCCAGAATCCCCAGTGAGGGGCTGGGGGCGTGGTCAGGGTGAGGCCCCGCCCAGAATCCTCCAGTGAGGGGCTGGGGGCGTGGTCAGGGCGGGGCCTCGCCTGAGGGACTCCAGGGCAGTAGGTCAAGACTCAGGTCACCCTCAGCCATTCTGGTCGTCTGCCTTTGGTCTTGGTACTGACAGGACCCACGTGATGGAAGTCATGGGGAAGCAGAGCCGTCGTAAATGGATACAAAAAGTCCTACCTTAGGCCGGCATGGAGCCACACCCCTGTCACCTCCGCTAGGGGCTAAGACAGGGGGTCTTCAGTTCTGGGCCAGCCTGCGTGACCAAGTGTTACCCCGTCTCAAAACAAAATGTAAAAAGAGGGCTGGGCCCGCAGCCCAGTACTGAGGGCTTGCGCTAGGTGCGTAAGGCCCGGATCTACCCTTTTGCTTCCAGAACAAAATAAAACAAACCTGGTGTCTTCATCTTGTTCAGTGACACTTTGGCTTCGATGTCCGTGTGTCTGCCCCGCCCCAGGTTCCCAGCGGGGTTTAAACAATCAGCGCCCGTACAGGGGTCAGCCTCTGTGCCCTCTGTGACCACAAAGCCGCACACCCCTCACGCAGACTGACCGTCGGCAGCAGGCAGCTGCCCTCCCGGGGCCCCCGGGCCCTTCCCCTCCCCATACAGGGTCCCACTCCGGGCCCGGGGCTCACCCTCCGATGCCCACGATGAGCTTCATGCTGGGGCCTGGCAGCGGGGACTGGTCCTGAGGTGGCTGCAGCCCAGGTGTTTGTGACCTGCGGGGAGCTGCTCCAGCGAGTCCCAGCCTCATTGACACAGCTGTACGCCTTTATAGGTTTGGGCAGCCCAGAGGCCGCCCCGGGGGAGGAGGCCCCCCAAGCACCGGGGGTGTGTGGGGAGCACCTGTTTCTCAGGCTGCAAATAGCTTCAGTAGCCTTTTGCCTAAATTAGTCAGGAGCCAGAGGGCCGGGGACAGCGGCCAACTTCCATGCTGTGCTCCCGTGTCTGCCTCCCCTCCTCCCTCCCCTCTTCCCTCCCTCCTCCCTCCCCTCTTCCCCCTCCTCCCCATCCTCACTGGTCACACCTTTCTATCCCTAAAAATATCTGCCTGACTTTGTGTCCCCTGGCTTGACCCTGACATTGAAACTGGCTCTCATGGGGCCAAGGAAAGGGACTCCCCCTTCTTCCTCTCCTCCTCCCTCCCCCTCTCCCCTGTCCCCAGCTAGGCCCTGCCAGGAAAGTCTTCCAAAAGTGTCATGACGAAGGTGGGTTTAGGCCTCTGGATGTGAATCACAAGACTGCTTTGCTCTGATGATCTTTTCAGCGTGACCCTGTCGTGAACCGTGTGACCAGAGTCATTGAGATCAGGCTCAGGGGAGCCAGGGTGGGGCCTTGTGACCCACCCCGTTCTTGGTAAGGGAGAAGAAATATTCTGTGTGTGTGTGTGTGTGTGTGTGTGTGTGTGTGTGTGTGTGTGCGCGCGCGCGCGCACGTGTGTGCACATGTGTGTGAGCCACATGTGGAGGCAGGAGGCCTATGTCAGGCTTCTTCTGGGGTCTTCTTATGTAGCTCTGGCTGGCCTCAAACTTGCTATGTAGACCAGGTTAGTCTGCCTCTGTCTCCCGAGTGCTGGGATCGAAGGCATGCGCCACCACTGCCTGGCAGATTTTTTAATTTTTATTTTTGTATATATGTATGTTGTCTGTCTGGGAGTTTGGTGCCCAGGAGGCCAGAAAGGGGCGTCGGGTCCCCTGGAACTGGAGTCACAGGTGGCTGTGAGCTACCAGGTGTGTGCTGGGAATCGAACCCAGGTCAGGACCTCCTTGAGAGCCCCCGTCCAGTTATTTTTAGGTGGGGTCCCCCTGGTTGCGCTGGGGTGTTTGGCCAATGAGCCCCAGGGACCCTCCTGTCTCTGCCTCCCCAGGGCTGAGCTCCAGGTGCCAGCGCTGGGCCATCTGAAGGGCGGTCCTCCTCATGCCCTGTGGCTGGCACCTCACCCCTGAGTTCCAAGTCCCCATCCCCCCTGCGGGCCCGCCGCTGCTGAGGGCCCACACTGTTCCAGAGAGGACTCTTACCCCAGGACAATGTCTGGCCCTTCCCTCCTGGTCCCCAGGGACCTGAGCAGGCATTGTGACTGAGATGGGAAAAGCATGGGTGACTAGACCCCAGAGCCATGGAGTGAGGAATGAGTGACTGTGTGTGAATGAATGAATGAGCTAGGGAATGAATGGGTGTAATGTTAGCCTGCATGCAGCAAAAGGTACCCCATCCCGCCCAGCCTTTATCCCACTGTTCAGCACCCCCCTCCCTAGGGACTGTCACCACACCACGTCCCAGGAGGGATCTGGCACATCCAGGGGACCGCACACTGGCCGAGACTGTCTCTGGTTTGTTAGAGACAGTCTCCACATCCACAGCCCAGGCTGGTCCGGAATTCAGCAGCCTCCTGCGGGCTGGGATGTCCGGCATGGGGCACCACGCCCAGGTCCCCACCACGTCTTGCTGGTGACACTAAACACAGCGTTGTCCGCGTGCCCTTGGTCTCCCGGCCACTCAGTGTGTCCCAAGGTCCAGGCTGTGGAGCCAAAGTCCTTGGAGGTTCACCAGCCCGCCCCCCCCAGCTAGGCCTGGCCACTGCTCACAGACGGGACTGGGCCTGCACACCTCACTCCCCGCACCTGGAAACACGCAGAGGAAACACGTCTCCCTCTGCATTATAATTTATTTATTTCACATAAAAATCGCCCCCCCCCAGCTCGCCGGTCCTCATGTCACCACAGCGACTGTGCCCACCGTCTCCATGTTTATGACTGCACAACTCGCTGGTGGACGGTGGACACGGTTGCTCTGGGCAAGTTTTCAAATGGATCCTGGGCATCTCTGTAGAGAAATCCAGCGGCCCTTCACCACCAGGCTGCTGGGCCTCTGCGTCTTGCCTCAGACTGTCCCCCGGGAACCTGAAGTAGTGGTCCTGTGCAGACTGGGATATTAAGCAGTGCAGGGCTTCTCTCCTGTTTCAGGGTCCTCTGTGGCCACGGTTCTGGGTCCTGCTTCCCTGTGGTCGGTGGGTGCTGGTAATCTCAAAGGGGTGGTGGGCACTCCACGGTGGCAGGGGGACAGATGTAGCAGGCAGCCCAGGGTTGGGGGCGGGACCTCAGACCCTTGAGGGCCGGCGGGATTGTGTCCACCCGTCCCTCCCTGCCACAGCTGTGCTGTGATGGCCTTGGTTGTCACCGGAAACCCCCTGGCAGGAAAAGTCTCTAGGATTCTGTTTCCAAAAGCCAAGAGGCCTGGACCCGGACCTGGGGGCACCATCTCGGTTCCCCTCTTCTATCTGACGTTGGATAAACACAACTTACAAAGCCCTCGCCAGGCTTGGGGGCACGCATCTGCCAGGCCAGCTCTCAGAAGCTGAGGCAGGAGGATCAGGAGTCTGAGGCCAGGCCGATCTTGTCTCAAAACAAAATAAAACCCAGCACCCCAAACAACTCTCTCGGGTCCCCTCCCAAGGCCACAGAGTGGAGGCCCAGTGTGTGGTGTGTCCTCTCAGATCCACGGGTGCTGTGGGCTGGAGACCGTGACTCTCCAGGTGGAAAGCTGCTCTTCTGGGGCCATCAGAGGTTCAGGAGCAAAGGGCATGTCACAAACGCCTCACGGTGGGGTGGATGGAATCCAGCCTTGGAGAGGGCAAGGCCCAGGGTCCTGTGTGTTCTTTTCTCACAGACAGGGTCTCGCTTTGTAGATCAGGCTGTCCTAGAACTCAGAGAGATCCACCTGCCTCTGCCTCCTGAGTGCTGGAATTAAAGGTGTGCGCCACCAGGTCTTGAGGAATCACAGGGGGCTCTCCTTGCAAATGTCATCTGGTCTTAAGTGCCCCTGGAGACAGGAGGCTTGCTCCTCACACTCCTATGGTGTCTGGACACAGTCCACCCTGACTGTCAAGTCATCAAGCCAAACTCGTTCTCTGACCCTGACTTGGAGGTCAGGTGGCCGCAGTGGCTGCCCACTGGGACGTATTTTCTTAGGGTGTTCCCCAGATCCCCTGGCACCCCTGTATCTTCATTTTCTTCATGTTCTCATACATGGAGCAGTAGTCTCAATCTTCTGCTTGGTGACACAGAACCGAAGTCTGGCCCAGGCAGGGGACAGGAAGGTGGACGCAACTCCTTCCCTTGGGATGAGGTGTCAGTTAAAATCTCCTGGAGTCACACCTACTTTAAAGAACTTGAAAATGTTCTAGATTATGGGGGGAGGTTTGGGGACCACCAGGCTGATCAATATGTGTGCAAAGGGCTTGAAGGCCCCTGAAGACAGTCAAATGGCAGAACAGGGGGTGTCGATGGGGATGTGAGGTCGGCAGTCACAGCCCTGCTTGGGGTGACAGGGAGAGGAGACAGTGGGTACATTCCACAGAAAAGCAGATGCAGCCACAGCCAGGGCCACCAGGGCATCTGAGGCTCCAGCCAGGGACAGGCGACAGGTGAGCCAAGGGTCTTTCATTGGGTCAGTCCAAAATGCACATTTGTGCCACCCCAGCTGGGGCAGTAAGAGGCATCCTGGGGCTATGAGGTCTGGAGGAAGAGCCCAGGCCACATAGGACCCGTGGGTGACACTGCCCGTATCCAGCTTTGCCAACCCCAAGCTCAGGGTGTGGAAGGGTAGAGGCCAAGGATGTGCTCCACTCCAGAATATGCTCGTGCCGCCTTCTTAAAATAAAAACAGGGAAATGTACTCAAGCAGAGAAAGAGGACACCACGATTCAGAGAGGGACAAAGGAGCCAGGTGTCCTCGGATGATGGACGCAGGATGAGGCAGGATGAAGTCCGGGGCCCACAGGCCTCTGACGGAGGTTATGTGGTGTCTGGAGTCTTCTCTGTCCATCTCTAGGTTCTGGTTAAATCAGGACATGCTGGAGGGTACAGGACAAGTAGGGTACGGTCAGTGTCTGAGGGGGAGGTGAGCTTCCACAGGAAGACTCAGAGTCAGCTACTGGCTGGCAGAGCTCTGAGCAAAGAGCATGATGGCCACCAACATTCCTAATGTAGATCAGAAGACAACCTCCCTCCCAGGCTGGTAGCAATAAAGACCTGTGGACTCCTGCACTCAGAGTGTCACAACCGAAACATCCACCTGTGCATGTGCTCAAATACCAACCCACCAAATCATAACTCTATCCAACAATGCCTACCCATCCACCCATCCATCCACCCATCCATCCACCCATCCACCCATTCACCCATCCATCCATCCATCCATCCACCCATTCACCCATCCATCCACCCATCCATCCATCCACCCGTCCACCCATCCACCCATCCATCCACCCATCCATCCATCCACCCATCCATCCATCCACCCATCCACCCACCCATCCACCCATCCACCCATCCATCCACCCACCCATCCATCCACCATCCATCCATCCACCCACCCATCCATCCACCCACCCATCCATCCACCATCCATCCATCCACCCACCCATCCATCCACCCACCCATCCATCCACCATCCATCCATCCACCCACCCATCCATCCACCCACCCATCCATCCACCATCCATCCATCCATCCATCCATCCATCCATCCATCGTCCTTTCTCTGAGGTGCACCTGAACCTGGCTGTGGGTGGGTGTCCTAGACATGGCCACCATGTCCCACAGCTGGGAAACAGATGCACACCCCTGTCTGTTGCACCAGTTGCTGGGGCAGAGCATATACACGTTGACCAGATGTTCAGTTACCCAGACTCAACTGCGCTTAGAACATTCCAAGAAAACCCACTGACACCCTCTACACCCACCTTGTCTCCTGGTCTTCTGTCGCTTCCGCTGACCTGTGGGTGAGGAGGAGAGGGTGTTATTTGCCTGTTTGGGACCTGGGGCAATCCCATTTACTGACTGTGGCTGGAAACCTCCCCGGAAGGCAGCCACCATGCTTCTTTCTAGCAGGAAACAGGTGTCAGTCTGCACCTGCTGTGTAAGGACGAGCCCAAAGAGAGGGGACCAGAGGAGCTGGTGCAGCAGCCCCCCCCCCCCCCCGTGTCCCCTGGGCCCCGCCTGCTGCCCCTGCGCTCACCCATCCTCTTCTTCCACTGTCTCCGGTTTTTCTTCGGACCTGGGAACCAGGAACTCGGGCTGTGGGGGCCGTGAGCTGTGACAGACAGAACCAGGTGACAGGGTGCAGTGGCCGGGGCTCTGGGATCCCACTGGCCTCTCGAGCATGCGCTGATGTCCCTGGTGTGTTGGAGGGAGCTGGTGGCCCAGGATGGGGTAAGTGTGACCCTTCACACAGGGAGTTTGGGGTGGGCAGGAGCCCTGCCCCACCTTCTCACAGAAACAGGGTCTCCATGTAGCCCAGGCTAGCCTGTAACACCCTATGTAGCTGAGGATGACCGTAAAGCTGGGATCCTCCTGCGTCCTCGCGCCGATTGCGGGGATGTGGCTGTGCTGCCACAGCGGCTTACGCGGCGCTGGGGTTGGGCCCAGCGAGGTCAGCGCCCTACCAACTGGGCTGTGGCCCCAAGCCCAGGCTGGGAAGGTGCAGGAGGAGAAACAGATAGAGCTGGACTTGCTGACCCACACCTCCCACCCCAGCACCGAGGACACTGAGGCACGGGTTCTGAGGCCAGCCTGGGCCACCCAACACCTTGTCTCAAAAGAGAAAAACAATGGGCCTCTGCACTAAGGAAGAGGACACCAGTGTCTGCAGCAGGGGTGATGGGGGGCGGGGGGTGATGGGGGCGGGGGGGTGCCAGGGGTGGGGAGTGCTGGGGGGGGTGAGGGGCAGGGGTTGCCGGGGGTGGTGGTGGTGGTGACGGGGTGGGGGGTGGTGGTGGGGTGGTGGGAGGGTTCCGGGGGCACGGGTGTGCCGGGGGGGGGGGCGGGTGTGCCGGTGGCGGGGGTTAGGGGGTGCCGGGGGGGGGGTGTGTGTGTGATGAGGGCAGGGTGTCTGTGTGCTGGAAGCGGGGGCTGCCGGGGGCGGGGGACCCACTGGGCTCCACCGACTGCTGTAGCGATCTCCCATGAGATCACTGGACTATTACCCAGCCATGAAAAGGAATACATCTCTGACACCGTGCCAACATGGACGGCGTGAGGACACAGCTCAGCTTGAACGGGACATGGGAGGATCCAAACGGCCGTGTCCACTCCCAGGAGAACCCAAGAGCCACAGGGACCAGGGTTACAGGGTTGGGGAGGCACCAAGAGCAGACAGATGGGGGCGGGAGTTAGTGTGGCACGGGGCAGAGCATCTCTGTGGGCTATGGAAAGTTCTGAGGGGCCGGCGTGGCGGGCACAGCCCTGTGACGGCTCTGCTGTGCCCGGCTGTGGGCTGGGGCAGGCAAGGTGTGGGACTTCACGTGCTGCATGGAAATCGTAAAGAAACTTTAAAGATAGAGAGATGCTAAAAAGAGACAAAGAGAGGAACTTACGGGGCCTCATCACCAGGGTTCCTCCAGGCCTGAGCTCCGCGCGCGCGCGTGTGTGTGTGTGTGTGTGTGTGTGTGTGTGTGTGTGTGCGTGTGTGCGTGTGCGCGCGCGCGGCCGAGCCAGTGTGGGCTTATGGGCAGCCCAAGCCCTTGGGCGTGGCTGGCATTGTTTGTACAAATGTGAATCCTGGGGTCACCACTTTTGTGCTCAGTGCTGGGTAAGGTCCTCAAACTAAATGAGGAAGCGGGTGGGGGGGGTTTGGCAACACGTAAAGGCGCTTGCGCCAAGTCTGACGACCCAAGTTGGATCCCCACTGGAAAGGGAACTGACTCCCCGAAAGTGATCTCCACACCCGTGCCATGGCTTGCACACTCACACCCGAAACAGATCACTAATACCTAATAGATGATGAGGGTGGGATTTGAATCCACGGCTGACTCCGGAGACCTCGTCTGAAAGGCAGGACTTTGGGGGTGTGTGAGGTGTGCGTGTATGTGAGGAGGTCAGGTGTCAGCGGACAACTCGCACGTGGGTCACCATCCCCCCCCCCACCAGCTCTCAGGCCTGACAGCAAGCCCCCTTTACTGGCCAAGCCGTCTCGCTGGCCCAGTCCACCTTATGGGTTTGTTTTCGAGGCAGGGTTTCTCTGTGTCGCTTTGCGCCTTTCCTGGAACTCACTTGGTAGCCCAGGCTGGCCTCGAACTCACAGAGATCCACCTGCCTCTGCCTCCCAAGTGCTGGGGTTAAAGGCGTGCGCCACCTCACCTGGCATCCACCTTACGTTTTTAGATGAGGGTTCTCCCTGAGCCCCGGGCTCCCTGGTTTGGGGAGGCTGCTGGCCCGCGAGCCCCAGGATCCCATCTCCATCTCCCCAGCTCTAGGATTACAGATGGGCATCACATGCCCGGCAGGTTACGTGAGTGCTGGGGATTTGAACTCAGGTCCTCACACTTGCCTGCACCAGTTTTCCCACTGAGGGCAGAGCTGAGCCAGTGGGCACCTTAGTTGGTCTGCACAGAGCGGAAGCCACCAAACCACCCCTCAGGCCCCGTCAGGAGATTGCGCCACACTGACCTCTCTCTCTTGGCTCTGAGTCTCTGTTCTTCGTACCTGAAGGAAAGAAAGGCAGGCGCAGGGAGTCGGACTCCCAGGAGCCGTGGGGCGCGGAGTGAAGGGGAGGCTGGGTGCCGGGGACTGAGCCTCGGTGTGGGGACGGCTGAGCTGTGTGCTGACTTCAACGAGAGCCTGTGAGTGCGTGCAGCACCCGCAGAGGCCAGGAGGGGGCGTCGGGCCCCCGGAACGGGAGTCACGGGCCGTTGTGAGCCCCGGGTGGGTGCTGGGAACCGAACCGGGTCCTCTGCAGGGGCAGCCGGTGCGCGAACCGCTGAGCCGCCTGTCCAGCCCCCGCCCGTGTTCCCAGCGGAAGGGACCCCAGGGACACTCACTGCAGGACGCACTCCGGCAGCTGCACGTGCTCCATGGGGATGAGCCGTTCCAGCTCCTCCAGGCTGTGCACGTACTGGATCTTACTGATGAACTTGACACTGAGGGCACACACGGGCGGACAAGGGGTCACCCACGCCGGCCTGGCACTCGCGACCCTCCTGCCTCGGCAGCACGTGGTGAACGACCAACACCCCAGGTGTGTCCCTTTTAGAAACGTCCTCTCACGTTTATTCACGCGCAAGACAAGAGGACAACGTGAGGGGCCGGTCCCTCCGCCCAACGTGCGGCCTCGGGGATTGAACTCAGGTTGTCGGCTCGGCCGCAAGCTCCTCTCCCCACAGAGCCAGCCCTTCAAACGGATTCTTACAAACACAAAGCAGAGTTCTCCACCTAGCCTGGTGGCACACGCCTGCCATCCTGGTGCTCACAGAGCTGAGACAGGAGGATTGCCACCTCAGTGCTGGCCGGGGAGACTTTAAAACCACGGGCCGGAGCAGACGGCCCCGCTGGGCGAGCGTCAGCATGAGCTCAGATCGACAGCACGTGGTGAAACACCGGGGTGGTGCAGCTGTGACCCCGGGGCTGGGGAGGCCGAGACAGGGGGATGCCGGGTCTGGCGGCCAGTGAGTCTCGGGGCGCAGGGCCAGGCAGGGTCCCACCTGATGAAGGGCCGGGAGATGGCCAGCACGGTCCGGATGAACCAGGAGGGGTGCACGATGATCAGGGACTTCAGGTTCTTCCGCAGTCTGCGGGGCGGCAAGGACGACCCGTCAGGTCCGGGGCGCAGGGAGCCCGTGGGTGGGCCGCCTCCCTCCCCAGCCCGACGACCCAGGTCCCCTCAGCCAACTGCGCCCTCACAGCCGCAGAGTTAGAGGCTCTGGGACGCGTCAACACCAGGCAGCAGTGTGGCCCAGTGTGGCGCTTACACACACACACACACACACAGAGTCCTGAATTCTAGGAAGTGCTCAGGTTTCAAGAGTCTGTCTGAAGCTATTCATAAAACACAAAAGGTGGAGACAGCCCAGTGTTTACTCACAGACGGACAGACAGAAACAATTCAGTTTGCTCACAGGCTGGAATATTACTCAGCCACGAAAAAGAAAAGGCCTTCTTTCTGATGCCTCCCTGAGGATGACCCTGGAGGACTCCGTGCTCTCAGACATGGATCAGACGCGGAAGGACGCGCAGCACGGTGCCTCCCTCTCCGGGGGTCCCTAGAGTGGTCGGTCAGCGGCAGACGCTGCAGGACTCTAAGGGGGCCTTCCTTCAAAGCCTTGTCCACCTTGACCTTGGCTGGGGAATGACGTTGACGGGTCCCCCCCCCCCTCACCTCCTGTCAATCATGTGGTAACACTTCTTCAGCCAGCCGATGCCGGGCATCCTCCGCCGGGGCGTGGCCCCGTTCAGGTACACGATCATGTAGTCCTCAGCCACGAGCAGTTCCAGGCTGCTGATGACGTATCTGCGGGGGGGGGGGGGGGGTTGGGGGATGGGGTTCCCGCCGCGTGGGGGCACTGAGGGTGCCGGCCTCCAGCACCCCCAAACAGCAGAGAACCCCCACGGTGCTCTCTGAGCTCCAGGCGCCCCGGCTGCCTCGCTGGTTGGGTTTTGTAGACCAGGCTAGCCTCGAGCTCGCGGCTCCACCACCTCCGCTTCCCCAGTGCGGGCCGCGGACTTACAGGAAGAGGTTCTCCATGATGTAGTGATAGTCGGGGGAGCTGCTGTCCGGAAGGAAGCAGGCAGCGAAGACGATGATGGCGTTGAGGCCTTCCCCGTAGTACCCTGGGAAAGGAGGCATCCGGGGTCACAGTAGCCCAGGCTGGACCATGTCTCCCCCCCCCCCCGGCCCCCCACGGCTGCACCTCCCTGAGCAACGCCACCCGGTGGGGGGATGGCACCCCGTGTGTCACCCCTGCACACCCCAGCTGGACTCGCCCGCTGAGGAGAGCCGCGTGCCCGGTGACCCCCGACCCCGGCGACGTGGGGGCGGGTCGCGGCGTGCACACACCTCCGTGAGTGACCACCTTCATGTACGGCCGGATCATGTGCAGGTCGATGCGGTGCTCCTGCTCCCCGATGATGACGGTCCGCCACAGGCGACCGTTGGCCGCTCCGCCCTCGTCCGCCGCGCTGTCCCCAAACAGGTCCGCGCTGTCCCCGGGCATGTTCTTGGCAGTGGCCACTGGGGTGTCGTCTGCGGGGGGGGGGGGAGCGGAGCGGTGTGAATCCAGGTGTGAATCCATCCAGCTCCGGGAACACCTGAGGTGAGCTAGCCTGGGTTAACCGCCCTGACTGTGGTGCCGCCGGGTCGCAGGGGCCGAGGCCTCTCCGCCTCCATGGACTGCAGCTCCCAACGGTCTGCCAGAATAAACCTGTCCCCCCAGTTGTCTGTGTCTGGTGTCGCAGCCACGAGAAAAGCGGCGACCATCTACCTGCCCGGCTCTGGCTACACTGCAGCCTCCTGCGGGAAGTCCTCCATGACTGCACCCAAGCTAGCCGCTGACACCACCCCTGAGGCTTCCGTCCCACCCCAACCCGGCTGGGTTTCCCTGCCCCCCTTTTTCTTTTTTTAAATCATCCCGACACTCAGAGACAGGCGGATCTTAAGAGTTCGAGGCTTGCCGGGCGGTGGTGGCTCACGCCTTTAATCCCAGCACTCGGGAGGCAGAGGCAGGCGGATCTCTGTGAGTTCGAGGCCAGCCTGGTCTACAGAGCTAGTTCAGGACAGGCTCCAAAGCTACAGAGAAACCCTGTTTTGGGAAAAAAAAGAGTTCGAGCCTAGCCTGGGCTACATAGTGAGACCTTGTGTCTCAAAGAAAAAGTGAATAAATAATAAATGATAAATAAGATTAAAAGGGCTTCCCAACGCATGGCCCTCCCTAGCTGCCCCGCCAGGACTACCTGAACCCTGCTCACTCCTCCCCCTGGGCCCCGCAGGGCGTCGAGGGAGAAGATGGTGTCCCTGCCCCGGGTCCCTCCTGACTGCAGGAGCTCCCGGGGGACCGGAAGAGGGCAGGGACGTTCCCAGCCGCCCACATCACTCCTGGTCTATTCTAGCTTGTCCCTAGTCCCCCCGCTGCCCCGCCCCCCGCGTGGGTGGTGTCCATCTGGACATCTGTCTGTGAGAATCCATCCACACAGATCCCAGCTCTGCGGGGCCAGACATTGTGGGTCCTGGGCCATGATGCGGGGGCCAGCGAGGAGGTGGCCACTGGGGCCAGCGGGGCGGAGAGAAGCCCCGGGGGACAGGGCGGGGACCCCCACCATTACCTTCCCACTCAAGGTCATTGCCGTTTCCCAAGAACTCCAGCGAGTCGGTCTCGTCCGGTGTCTCGATGTCATCCACGTTGATGTCCAGGTCATCGGGGGTGTCCAGGAAGTCGTCGGACAGCAGGGAGCCCTCGCTCTGGTCCAGCGAGATGTTGATCTCTGGGGCCACCAGGGTCTTTCTCTTCCGATGTGCTCCACCCAGGTTCAGGGTGGAGGGAGGAGCTGCCAGGACCCACAAATGGGAAAGATTGCTCACCCCCACCCCCGCTCAGACAGGCTCTGGGTAGCCCAGGCTGGCCCCAGATTCAGTGTGTAGCAGAGGATGGCCTTGGACTCCTGCTCCCCAGGGCTGAGTGAGCCTCTGCCCACCGCGGAGCTCAACCCCCTCACATGTGACCTCCTTCTCCGAAAGTTTATGCCTCACCCCCACACGTTGTCCCCAAACCCAAGTCCACCCGGAAGGAGCTCAGTGCGGCTGAGTCTTCTGAGGGCACCTGAGAGAGAAGCCACCTGGGGCACCTCAGCTGAGAAAACGTCACCACCAGACGGGCCTGTGGGGCGTTTTCTTGATGGTGATCGACATGGGAGGGCTGAGCCCACTGTGGGCGGGGCCACCCCGGCCAGGGGTCCTGGGTTCTGTGAGAAAGCTGGCGGGGAGCATAATCGTCATCAGACAGGCGTCATCCAGCCACTGATGGAAACAGATGCAGAACCACAGCCCAGGAGAGAGGGAGGAAGGATTGTGAGAGCCAGAGGGGTCAAAGACACCACAAGAAAACCCACAGAATCAGCTTGCCTGGGCTCACAGGGGCTCACAGAGCCTGAACCGACAACCAGGGAGCCTGCGTGGGACTGACCTAGGCCCTCTGCATGTGTGTGACAGTTGTGTAGTTTGGTCTTCTTGTGGGACTCCTAACAGTGGGAGCAGGGGCTATCTCTGGCTCTGTGTGTGTCTGTGTTTGTGTGTGTGTCTGTGTCTGTGTGTGTGTCTGTGTGTGTGGTTTTTCGAGACAGGGTTTCTCTGTGTAGTTTTGGTGCCTGTCCTAGAACTCGCTCTGTAGCCCAGGCTGGCCTCGAACTCACAGAGATCCGCCTGCCTCTGCCTCCCGAGTGCTGGGATCAAAGGCGTGCGCCACCACCGCCCGGCTATCTCCGACTCTTACTGGCTTTTGGGACCCTACTCCTCATACCAGGTCGCCTGGACCAGCCTGAACGTGCCAGCCTGTGCCCAGTCTTACTGTAACTTGTCATACTGTGTCTGGTTGAAATCCCTGAGAGGCCTGCTTTTTTTCTGAAGGGAAAGAGAGGAGTGGACGTGGGGGAGGGAAGGTGTGTGGGGGACTGGGAGGAGGGGAAGGAGGGAAATGCAGTCAGGATGGAATGCATGGGAGAAAAATTCTAAAAAGAAAGAAATCAGCCAGGCTGAGCAGCCGTGTGGAGCACCCGGGCAGCAGCCCCCTCCACAGCCTCTGCTTCAGCTCCTGCCTCCGGGTTCCTGCCCTGATGTCCCTCGGGATGGACTGTGGTGTGCAGGGGTAAGTCCTCCCCAAATCTGTCACCGTGTTTGTCCTGGTGACAGGAAGCACCCTAGCTCCCACAGTGGTGTCTGGACAGGGCAGCTTAAGGACAGTGGGGGGGTGACCCCCAGGCATGCTCAGTGAGAACCAAGACGATGCTCTACGGGAGCCGTTGTCGGCAACTGAGAACCATCGTGATGCGGCCCGCACTCCCAGAGGTACGGAAACAAGCCTGTCATCCCACTGAGACACTGAGGCAGGAGGATGGAAGGTTCAGTGGCAGCCTGGCCCTGACAGATCTCTCAAAACACAGGGCTGATAAGATGGCTCAGTAGGTAAAGGGCAGTTCAACAGTGGGGGGACCCCGCCTGGTGGCTTTATTCCCAGAACCCTGATGGTGGACACAGAACTGACTCCCACAAGCCGTCCTTCAAAATCCACAGGTGACACCCAACAACCCACAATACACAAACTGGGGTCATGGCCTCTGCCTAGAACCCCCAGTGACAGCTGGGGGCGTGGTCATGGTGGAGCCCCGCCTAGAACCCCACCCTGAGGTTTCCGGTGGGGACGTGGACACACAACCTCAGCTACATAGTGAGTTCCTGGCCAGCTCAGGTTACAGCTACAGGAGGCCCTGACCCAAAACAGTAAGAGAGAGGAGGGAGGGAGAGACAGAGAGATGCCACTTGCTAAATGTTTCTTTCCCTGACAGGTCTCTGTTACAGAATATTTGTTTAACTCTGTAAAGATGTGTTGCATTTGTTTAACTCTGTAAAGATGTGTTGCATTTGTTTAACTCTGTAAAGATGTGTTGCATTTGTTTAACTCTGTAAAGATGTGTTGCATTTGTTTAACTATGTAAACATGCGTTGCTGTTTTGCTTTGTCTGTCTAAGGCACCTGATTGGTCTAATAAAAAGCTGAATGGCCAATAGCTAGGGAGGAGGGATAGTCAGGACTTCCAGGCAGGAGAGTAAGTAGGACAATTTAGGGTCAGGGGAAGAAAGAAAAGAGATGCCAGGGAGACACTGGGGTCCAGACAGACAGACACAGAGGAATCAGGAAAGCAGGGCATACAGAATGAAAGAAAGGTAAAAAGCCCCAAGGCAAAACATAGATGAACAAAAACAGGTTAACATAAGTTGTAAGAGCGAGTGGGACAAGCCTAAGCTAAGGCTGAGCACTCATAATTAATAAGTCTCTGTGTATTTATTTGGGAGCTGGTTGGCAGCCCAAAGAAAATTCCAACAACAAATGGTGTCTACCGTGGGGCCTGAATTTCCACATAGGGCCTGAGAAAGCTGGGAAAAAAGAAACAGAGAAAAGAAAATGGATACGGCTCCTTCAGGAGGCGCTGCCCTGCAGCAGAGCACTTGAGCAACCACAAGCTAAGTAGAAACAACAAGCTAAGTAAAAACCCTGCCACAGTGTGGGCACCGACTTCCTAGAGCTGGGGCGGTTAAATGCAGCTCTCGGCCAGGCCCTGGGGCTTAAGGTGCCGCTCTCATGGACCGGAGAAGTGGGTAGAGCCAACTGGGAGCCACACGGTGGAGGTGGAGGTCCTAGGTGACAGTTAGCAGTGTAAGGTTTGACTCCTGTGGCCAGAGAACACTACATGTGCACAGCAAAACTGGTCCAGACGAAAATCCTTTAAAAAGGTTACAATGTACATAGGTGCTTAAGAAAGAAAAGAAAATGGGTGTGGACAGTTGTAGGAAAAATAATAGTTTAAAAACAGTTAAGTAAAGTCTTTAAAGAAAGAGTAAAGTAATAAAAAAAAGAATAAACCACATGAAGATGTGACATACACAGGGAGTCTGGATTCTGTATGGTGTTGTGTTCACTTTGAATTTTATTTATTTATTTATTTACTTATTTATTTATTATGGATGCAGTATTCTCCCTGCATGTACACCTGCACGCCAGAAGAGGGCACCACCATATCTCATTGCAGATGGTTGTGATCCATCATGTGGTTGCTGGGGCTTGAACTCAGGACCTCTGGAGGAACAGCCAGTGCTCTTAACCTCTGAGCCATCTCTCCAGCCCCATGAATTTTTTTTTAATGCTGATCAATGAACAACAGCTGCTGAGAGACGTTGGATTGTAAAAGGAACCACTGAATTAAACCAGCCTAGATGCTTTAGGGATGCCTTAACTTTAAAATGGAACTCAGAAAATATATTGCATTGGGGGAGAAGTTATGATTTTGTTCCCACAGGAAATGAAAGGCTATGGATTCCTTCAAAATTAATAGAGACCAGATCTGATTGGGGAGAGACCCCATGAAAATCTTGGCTACAGACATAAATAAATAAATGCAGAAAAACTACAAAACAGGTGATGTAGCCAGGCAGTGGTGGCACACACCTTTAATCCCAGCACTCAGGAGGCAGAGCCAGGCGGATCTCTGTGAGTTCGAGGCCAGCCTGGTCTACAGAGTGAGATCCAGGACAGGCACCAAAACTACACAGAGAAACCCTGTCTCGAAAAATAAAAACAAAACAAAACAAACAACAACAACAAAAAAAATCAGGTGATGTGTATGCTGATCCTTTGACATGGGGACATGATAAGATAAAAAGGGAGATTATTGAATCTACTTTAAAAAGGAACTTGTTTTAAATAGGATAAGTAATGAAAAATTTTTTATCTGAATTTGTCAAATGTTAAAGGACTAGACATTGTTAATGTAATTCCTGACTGTACATATTGTATATACTTATTGGATATAGTTTTTCTTGCATTAGTTATAAGCTTTTTTAAAATTTTAGACAAAAAAGGAGAAATGTGGTGATATTGTGTTCCCCAAAATATTGTGCACCCTAATAGACTTATCTGGGGTCAGAGAACAAAACAGCCACTAGATACAGAGGCCAGAAAATGGTGGCACTAAGGCAGAGGTCCATCCTGATCTCTGTGAGTTCAAAGCCACATTGGAAACAGTCAGGCATGGTGACACACGCCTTTAATCCCAGGAAGTGATGGCCGGAAGCAGAAAGGTATATAAGGCGTGAAAACCAGAAACTAGACGTTTTTGGCATAGTTAAGCTTTTAGGCTTTTGAGCAGCACAGTTCAGCTCAGAGGCTTCCAGTCTAAGGAAACAAGATCAGCTGAGAAGTTGGCCAGGTGAGGTGGCTGTGGCTTGTTCTGTCTCTCTAATCTTCCAGCATTCACCCCAATATCTGGCCTTAGGTTTGATTTTATTAATAAGACCTTCTAAGATACATGCTACATCAACAGATCTGAGACTGGATGAGACAAGATAAATCTGGTGACAAGATAAATCTGGCTACAGAGTCCTCATGACTGATTATTACCTGCCACCCTTTCATATGGCATGGATAGAGGTTTGGTTGTACAGTCCAAACAGTCTTGTAACGTTAACAGATGCCTTTACCTGTGCAAACATAGAATGAAATCATCTTTAACTGGCTTGTGCACACTTCACAATCCATACACATGTTAATGCAGATATGTGTGTTACCTTTGAAAGTTTGTGCGTTTTCAGAAAGGAAAAAAGGACCAGACACCAATGAAAATGGGTGGCCCAGGTGATGCAGCCTCTCAGAATGTCTCTGTTGTGGTTTCCTTAGAGTTCTGGTCCAGAACAGCTTCAAGGCTGTGGCTGGCGGAGATGGTCCAGCCTCACAGACTACTCTAGCCAGGATTGAAGATAAGCCTTGCATTTTCCTATTACACCGAGACTGGACAACAAATGTTATAGCTAGTTTTCTTAGGACTTGATCATTATCTCAATTTTCTCAGGGTTCCCTGAGGACACCATCACCTCTGTACAACAGGAAGCAGTCTAGAGTACACGATGCCCACATTCCCAAGAGGTGGGGGTGGTGGTTTCGGTCATTTGATAGGTTTGTGAATGTTTGTCATCATTTAGCAGGGATAAAGAAATATAGAAAATATAAAAAGGACAACTATTCATCTCAAATATTTAACAATGGTTTGGATTTTTATATATTGATGCAAACTTAAGGTTATTTTTGTTATATTGTACATATGTTTATGCTCTTGCTTAAGGTATTGTACCTATGCAGCTCATTTAAAAATGAAATATAAGCTGGGCGGTGGTGGCGCACGCCTTTAATCCCAGCACTCGGGAGGCCAGAGGCAGGCAGATCTCTGTGAGTTCGAGACCAGCCTGGTCTACAAAGTGAGTTCCAGGAAGGCGCAAAACTACAGAGAAACCCTGTCTCAAAAAACCAAAAAAAAAAAAAAAAAAAAAAAAGAAGAAATATAAAATTCTAGTGCTTGAAAGCTATTATTACAAACTGTTTAAGTTAATTAAGAAACACAGGCCGGGCAGTGGTGGCGCACGCCTTTAATCCCAGCACTCGGGAGGCAGAGCCAGGTGGATCTCTGTGAGTTCAAGGCCAGCCTGGGCTACCAAGCGAGTCCCAGGAAAGGCGCAAAGCTACACAGAGAAACCCTGTCTCGAAAAACGGAAAAAAAAAAAAAAAAAAAAAAAAAAAAGAAACACAGGTTAGTAGCTAGTTATCTATAACAATCAAACTTATAGTCAGGTATGTTTTCAAGGTCAAACAGAAATATATTTTAGATAGATGGTCTTCAGACACTCCAGAGACATAGAGAATATGACATTTTAGATGTTTTAATAACATAAGAATTTCCATGACAGTGAGACATGTCTGCTCCTGGCAGCACCAATCTACTTCAGGGAAGATGATGGGCATCAAAGAAACTCCATATCACGTTTGCTTTAAATGTGGCAAAGTTAGCCACTGGGCAAGAAACTGTCCTTACCTCGACTGCTGACAGTATGCTGTCCAAACTGGACCAGCAGGACACACAAAAAAAGTGACTGCCAAACTTCACCAAAACAAGGCAGGACAGTCCTTCAAAATTCCTGCTTCACATAAGAGTCTGTCAGATACTCTGGACCTGTAGGGCGAAGATGGATGCCCAGCTTTGCAGAGGAACTTTGGGTGACTGTCCAGGCAGCCAGCTGTTTCTCTCATTTCTTATAGTTTTGGACGTTGTTTGCTCTGCATGTCCCCTGTTTATTCAGGTAATATATATCCTTCTCGGGTCTCTGATGGGGTTGAAGACTACATAGTTATAGTTTTACAGTTTTCCTTGTTACCGAATTCAGAAAATAAACTCAAAAAAGTTATGTAAAGTATATAATGTTGAGAGACATTGGATTGTTTATCTAGGAAAATGTTTTGAGGTCTAAAAAGATGGTTTTGGGTTGGTAATACAGTTAGGCTAGAAGGTGGATTAGATACACACCTGTGGACTCACCAAGACTGGATAGATAATGGAGTCTTTTCTTTAAATTTGCCAAATACAAATGGACTGGTTATTGTGAATGTAGTTCTTGCTTGATAATTTTTACTATCTTACTATATTAGAGCTAAAACCTTTTTTTAAAAAATTTTTTAGTGTCAGTCTTTATTTCTTATTTTTTTAGTTTATTTATTTTTATTCATTTTACTTACCAACCACTTTTATTTAGACAAAATGAGGAAATGTTGGGGAATATTTATTTAACTCTGTAAGGATGTGTTGCCTCTGTTTATGTTGCAGAGCATTTGCTTAATTATGTGAAGATGTGTTGCATTTGTTTAACTCTGTAAACATGTGTTGCTGTTTTACCTCGCCTGCCTAAGGCACCTGATTGGTCTAATAAAAAGCTGAGCAGCCAATAGATAGGGAGGAGGCACAGGCGGGACTTCTGGGCAGGGAGAGTGAGTAGGAGGAGGAATTTAGGCTGGAGGGGGGAGAGAAAGAAAAAGAGATGATAGGGAGATGCCGGGGGCCAGCCAGATGCAGAGGAAGCAGGAAAGCAGGACATACAGAATCAAAGGAAGGTAAAAATCCCCAAGGCAAAACGTAGATGAAGAGAAACAGGTTAAATTGAGTATAAGAGCCAGTGGGACAAGCCCAAGCTAAGGCCGAGCATTCATAATTAATATTAAGTCTCCATGTCTTTATGTGGGAGCTGGTTGGTGGCCTGAAGAAAATTCCAACTACAGGTTTCCACGTTCCACATGACCCCATCTTGCCCTGCTCCCTCCCTTTGGAGATGGACTGGGCTGGCTCCTCCAGCAGGTCAATCCTGTGTGCACGGGCTCGTCCCAGCAGCATCCCTTCAGACCTAGAACAGCTGGCTGAGGCCCAGGTCTCCCCCTGGTGCTGGGATGGAATACGACATTTGGAGCTGTAAGATGGAGGGGATGTGGTGTTCCCTGCATGTGGAAAGAACCCTGGCTGGAGCTGGAGAGGCTCAGTGTGACCTCAGGATCACTCTGTGTAGCTGGTGGGAGGTTTAGAGAGTGGGAGTGCCATGGGTTGAGGCCAACGGGCACAGGATGAGTTCAATATGTGTGATTTAAGTATAAAAACAGAGCTGAGGGCGTGGTCAGGGTGGAGCCCCGCCTAGAATCCCCAGTGAGGGGCTGGGGGCGTGGTCAGGGTGGAGCCCCGCCTAGAATCCCCCAGTGAGGGGCCGGGGGCGTGGTCAGGGTGGAGCCCCGCCTAGAATCCCCTTTGAGGGTCTGGGGGCGTGGTCAGGGTGGAACCCCGCCTAGAATCCCCCAGTGAGGGGCTGGGGGTGTGGTCAGGGTGGAGCCCCGCCCAGAATCCCCAGTGAGGGGCTGGGGGCGTGGTCAGGGTGGAGCCCCGCCCAGAATCCCCAGTGAGGAGCTGGGGGCGTGGTCAGGGTGGAGCCCCGCCTAGAATCCCCCAGTGAGGGCTGGGGGCGTGGTCAGGGTGGAGCCCCGCCTAGAATCCCCAGTGAGGAGCTGGGGGCGTGGTCAGGGTGGAGCCCCGCCTAGAATCCCCCAGTGAGGGGCTGGGGGCGTGGTCAGGGGTGGAGCCCCCGCCCAGAATCCCCAGTGAGGGGCTGGGGGCGTGGTCAGGGTGGAGCCCCGCCTAGAATCCCCCAGTGAGGGGCTGGGGGCGTGGTCAGGTGGAGCCCCGCCCAGAATCCCCAGTGAGGGGCGGTTGGAGTGCCTCGGTGTTAAGTTCTGGATTCTAGTCCGAGAACTAAAAACGATGAGGAGGGCAGACCTGGAGGAAGGCACACAGGCAGGGGCATTATCCTGTGACGGGCTCACAATTGGGTCTGTCTCCACAGATGAGGCTGTCCTGGAACTTGGGCAATCCCCCTGCCTCGGCCTCCTGTTTAGGACTCCTGGCACGTATCTCCGTGTGCAGACACAAACTGAGATACACGTGTTTTCTAACTGAAAGGACTGTGTGTGCGCGGTGCCTGCGAGCGCACAGAGTGTGTCCTCGTGGCTCTCCCGTGTTTTCACCGTGGGGCTCTCCCTGAACCTGGGGGTGACTGACTCAGGTAGCCAGCGGGCGGTGAGTCCCAGCCATCCTCCTGTGCAGCACGAAAATCGCAAACGAGCTACACCATGCCTGATCCCCACCCCACACCCTCCGCCCTGAGGTTCTGGAATCGGAACTGAGGTCCTTAGACCAGAACAGCGAGCGTGCTACCCACTGAGCATCCCCCATTTCACCAGTCCGGGCTTCTAGATTGGAAGCGCATCACCTGCACAGAGACATCGGGCAAACAGCTAAGGGCACACAGTGAGACATGGCGCAGTCTTCGTGTGGGTGTCCTCTTACCCCTTGGGCCCAGGCTGCAGACGCCCCACCCTGCATGCAACCCCGGACATCATCGCACCCTGAAACCAAGCTCACATTGCTGCGCGCTCTGCAAACTTACAGGACGAGTCTTCCACTGCGCCGCCCAGCAGCTCCACCCCAGTGTCTTCAGGGAGGGGTCTGTGGAAACCCCAGGAACCGGGTCAAAAACGCAGCACGAGGAACACAGGATGACCGGACCAGCCAAGGGGGTTGAGAGAAAAGAAGAAAACGCAATCAGATCAAGGCAGTAATGCCCCAGACTCGGCTCTCCCTTGGAACAGATGATTCAGGAAACACCCATATAGAAAGATGCCTTTCAAAAGAGCCACGCCCCCAGCCCCTCCCTGGTGATCCTGGGCGGGGCTCCACCCTGACCACGCCCCCAACCCTCACTGGGGATTCTAGGCGGGGCTCCACCCTGACCACGGCCCCAGCCTTCAAGGTATTATCCTGTTATTCCTCTCATTTGACCTTAAAAATGTATTTCACAGCCCGCAGGTGGTGGCGCTCGCCTTTAATCCCTGCACTCCTGAAGCAGAGCCAGGTGGATCTCTGTGAGTTCGAGGCCAGCCTGGTCTACAGAGCAAGATCCAGGACAGGCACCAAAACTACACAGAGAAACCCTGTCTCGGAAAACAACAACAAAAAAATGTATTTCACAGAGAGAAAACAACCAGGGCACAAACACCCGGGGTCCAGATGGCTGCTTGGAGGGAGACTTTGGCCTTGGCCCCTGCTCTCTGCTGCAACCTCATGGCCGGTCAGCCTAGTGCACTAACTCCTGTAGCTCAGGATGGCCCCAAACTGGCAATCCTCTTGCCCCAGCTTCCACACTTTCAGTGAGATTCTGTCTCCACAATAAATAAATGAATGAATGAATAAACATTTAAAAAATTAAAAGCTGGGCAGTGGTGGTGCACACCTTTAATCCCAGCTCTCAGGAGGCAGAGGCAGGCGGATCTCTAAGTTCGAGGCCAGGCTGGTCTACAGAGTGAGTTCCAAGATAGCCAGGGCTACACAGAGAAACCCTGTCTCGAATAACCAAAAACCGACAACAGAATGCAATCATTGACTTCAGGCTGGGCAATGGGTAGAGCCTGGCATGGATGACTCACTGGCTCCCCGCTTCATCCAAATCAGGTATGCTGGTACCTGCCATCATGGCGCTTGGAGGGCTAAGGCAGGGGCAGCAAGAGTTCAGGGCCTTCTTGGCTACTTAGTGAGTTCAAAGCCAGCTTGGGCTACAAGCTGTCTCAAAATGTACCCACTGTCTCTCCTCCCCACCCCCCTCTCCAATGACCTGGGGGGTCTGGGCTTCTCCCTGACAGGTGAGCAGACACTGTGGGCTGGATCCCTGCCTGAAAGGCTGTGCACACATCGGCCTTTGTGCGGCTGCAGCTGGGTCTGGGTCCTCTTGTAGGGAGGAAGGCGGTGGCCTGGTAAGCCAAGTGCCAGACTGGCATGGGGGTCGACATGGGAGTGTCTGTCTTGAGCTGGGTGAGGGCACTGGCTGCCAGGGGTCTTGTGGATAAGGACATATTTGGATGAGCGCAGCTGGACGCTGGACCAGGGAGGCCAGGCCCAGGGACTTGTAAGGAAACAGCACAGCTTCTTCCTTCTGTCTTCTGTCAGATTCTCACCTACAGTAGTCTACCCTTGAACTCCCAAAGTAGCCAAGAATGACCTTGAACTCTAATCTCCTGCCTCTCCCTCCTGAGTACCGGGGGATGACAGAGGACAGCTTTGTGTTGCTGGGGACAGAAGCCAGGGCTGCTTGCATGCTGGGTGAGCTCTCTGCCTGTTGTGGAATATTTTAAGATTTTTGTTTAATGGTGCAAAGATGTGTTGCGTTCTTTTATGCTGCATTTGTTTAACTCTGTGAAGCTGTGTGACTGTGCCTGTCTAAAACACCTGATGGTCTAATAAGGAGCTGAATGGCCAATAGCAAGGCAGGAGAAAGGATAGGCGGGGGTGCCAGACAGAGAGAATAAATAGAAGGAGAAATCTGGGAGGAAAAGATAAAAGAGCAAGAGAACAAGGAGAGGAGGATGCCAGGGACCAGCCACCCAGCCACACAGCCACCCAGCCACCCAGCCACCCAGCCACACAGCCACACAGCCACACAGCCACACAGCCACCCAGCCACCCAGCCACACAGCCAGCCACGGAGTAGGAGTGAAAGGAAGATACACAGAAGTAAGAAAAGGAAAAAGCCCAGAGGCAAAAGGTACATGGGATAATTTAAAGTTAAGAAAAGCTGGCAAGAAACAAGTCAAGCTAAGGCTGGGCATTTATAATTAACAATAAGCCTCCGTGTGTGATTTATTTGGGAGCTGGGTGGCGGGGCCCCCAAAAGAGTAAAGAGTAATAAAATGGTGAGCGACACTGCCAGCCGAGTCCGTGTCCCAGCCTCCATATCTGTCATTTTTAACTCTATCAGGAGCCAGATGTGGAAGTCAGGGGCCACGTTCACTTCCTCTCCATTGGTTCTTGAGACACGGTCTCAATGACCAGGAGACTAGACTGTCTGGGTCAGCGAGGGCCACTCTCCACCTGCCCAGCTTTAGGATCACAAATGCCCACTTGGCTTTTTCCTGTGGTCCAGAGAGATTGAACTCCGGTCCTGGTGCTTATATGGCAAGTACGTTACCCTGGGAGCCATCTCTCCAGGACCTGGCTTTTCAAAAGTTGTTTCATTTAGCCCAGGCTAGTCTGGAACTTGCTCTGTAGCCTCTGAGCCACGCCCCCAGCCTCTCACTGGGGGATTCTAGGCGGGGCTCCACCCTGACCACGCCCCCAGCCCCTCACTGGGGATTCTGGGCGGGGCTCCACCCTGACCACGCCCCCAGCCCCTCACTGGGGGATTCTAGGCGGGGCTCCACCCTGACCACGCCCCCAGCCCGTCACTGGGGATTCTGGGCGGGGCTCCACCCTGACCACGCCCCCAGTCCCTCACTGGGGGATTCTAGGCGGGGCTCCACCCTGACCACGCCCCCAGCCCCTCTCTGGGGATTCTAGGCGGGGCTCCACCCGGACCACGCTCCTCTGTTTGATGCAGGGTCTCTCTGCACCCCAGGTTGGCCAGAACTCATTCTTGAGCTCCCTCTGTGGAAGCTGAGCTGCGAGGCCCGGTCACAGTGTCTGGGAGTCTTGGAGGAAACGGTTCCAGAAGGTTCTGTCACCATCAGCAACATCTGCTGCTGCTGCCAGGAGCAGCGAGGCCCGGACGAAGGGGCGCTGGCGCCCTCACCTGGGCAGATCCTCGTCCTGCCATTCATCCCTCACGTCCACGTTTTCCATCCTCAGCGTGGCTTCCGTGGTCCCCATGGGAGCTGGAAAGAGAAGCCGGCCGGGAGCTGGGGCGACCCCGGAAGCGGATCTGGGGGAGAGAGGACAGACTGGTCTAGACGGCCGTGACTGCGGACAGCGGGATCACCCCGGGCTGCGCTCGGGAGAGGGGTCGAGCCCCAGGTCCAGTCCTCCGTTGGGACCTGTCAATCAAGTCCGCCCTCTCCAGAGCAGCCGGGACCCCAGCGGACACATCCCCTCCTTTTCCTCGGACGCCGCCGTGCAAACGCAAGCCTTTGTGACCGTCAGGACTGATTCCCCTTGGGTAGGCACTTCCGGGAAGGGAGTCCTCTGCCCGCTCCTCCCCGGGCCACCCCCCCAGGACCCAGGAGGAAGTGGGAGAGACCCGGCTGCTCAGGGGGGTCCTGACGGCATCTGCCAGCACCTGGGCTTCCCTGTTTGTAAATCGGTTGAGCAAGTCACGTGTTCTGGGTGGCGTCCTCTGAGCCCATCACCCCGGCTCCTCACTCCAGGAACAGCCATGGTCTGTGTGCGCAGGCATAGGTCAGAGGTCAATGCCAGCGTCCTCCCGCTCCGCCTTGTATTTTGAGGCAGGGTCTCTCTACACCTGAAGCTAAGCGCAGAGCCCAACAGCCCCAGCCTCTGCCTCCCCAGGGATGGGATTACTTTATTGTCCTCCAGCTTTATTCCCTGTGTGTGTGCACGTGTGTGCGCGCGCACGTGTGTGTGTGTGTGTGTGTGTGTGTGTGTGTGTGTGTCATGTGCGTGCCTAGTGCTGGGGGGGTTGTCAAAACTGAGAGTGTGTTGTAGGGCGGTGGTGGTGCACTTCTTTAGTCCCAGCACTCTGGAGGCAGAGGCAGGAGGGTCTCTGTGAGTTCCAGGACAGCCTGGTCTACACAGAGGAAACGCTGTCTTGAACTCCTTCCACCAAAAAAGAGAGAGGGCATCGGATCCCCTGGAACTGGAGTTGCAGAGGTTGTGTGTGGCCACGTGGGTGCTGGGAATTGAACCCAGGTCCTCTGAGAGCAGCTAGTGCTCTAACCACTGAGCCACCTCCCCAGCCCAGGCTGTGATTACAGTTTGGTGTGTTTGTGTGTGTGTGAGAAAGAGAGAGAAAGAGGGAGAGACAGAGACAAAGAGAGACAGGGACAGAGAGAGACAGAGAGGGACCGAGAGAGAGAGACAGGGAAAGAGACAGAGACAGAGACAGAGAGACAGGGAGAGAGAGACAGAGAGAGACGACAGGGAGGGACCGAGACAGACAGACAGAGAGGCTCTGTCCGTGTAGCCTGGCTCTCCTGGAACTCATCCCACCTCAGCCCCCGAGTGCTGGCATTAACGGTGTGTGCCACCTTGCCCACTCTGGCCACCTTTTTAAATTAGTTACCCGTTTTGTCCCTGTGTGGGGCGTGTGCACTGTGTGGAGTTTCAGGCAGGGAGGCCAGAGCACCCTTTGTTGGAGTGGCCCCCCCTCCCCCATGTGGGTCCCAGGGAGCAAAGTCAGGTGGTCGGCATGGCAACAGCTCTGGGTTCCCAGAAGCCACCACACCTGGCTGGTTCCACGGGTGCCGGGGATTGAACTCGTGGTTTTACTGCCTGCGCATGACCCCCTGCCGCCTCCTGCGCCCCACGGGGTGCTGTGTGGACCCCCCAGACTGTCTGGTGGGAGCGCTTCGCGTTGGAGGCCGGTGTTGCGACACAGACACCCCCCCCACACAACTAAGGGCGCCCCCAAGCCAAACTCCGGCACCCACGGGGCACATCTGTGAAATCATGATTTTTCTCCTATTTCCATATTGACAACAGGATTCCAGGGCCCAGTCACGGGATGTCACCCCTAGTCGGCTCCCTGATCCGGGGACAAGGGCCTCTAGCCTGTCCTGGCTGTCACTGCCCTCCGGCCGGGCCATCTGCGGCTGGTGGCTGGGGTGTGTCTCCGGCGGCCAGGGAGGACAGGCCTGCAGGTGTGACCGCGGCTGGCGGAGGCAGGAGCCCGAGGGAGGCGGGGCCGACTCCATGTCATCACCCATTCATGGAGGAGCGACAGCAGGACAGACACACAGTACGGGAGGAAAAACGACTCCCCCCCCCCCCCGCCCCGGGTGCCCCAGGCCTCCCCCGGCGCAGCTGAGTTCAGCCCATTGTGTCTGTGCATGGAGGGGACTCGGGTCCCTCATGCCGGGCGGGGTGTGAGGGGGAACGACCCCCGTCCACACACTCCAAACACTGGGTGTGGTGGGGGCGCCGGCGACTCCAGGAAAAACAGCGCAGGTCCCTGGCCGGTGGCCACTGCTCAAAACCTGTCCTTTTTAATGTATGTGCGATTTTGATGCCTCCAACCCGCAGTCAGGGTTATAAATAGAAAGCATCCGACACCGCATTGGAGGTTTACCGCCCCCAGGATGCTCCGGCTCCGCGCTGGGCTTTTAATCTCTTCGCTCTCCACCCAGGATCCAGCCCCGGCCGCTCGCCCCGTCGCAGCATCCACACCGGGAGCCGCCAGCGTCTCCCGGATAAACCTTTCCCCTAGCTGGGCTGCTAGCAGGGGGAAAAAATGACAGTTTACATTTCCAGTCTGCAAAAGGCCCACTCACCTCGGCGGCGGCTCCGCGCTGTCACTGAGACACAAAGGCGCGCCGGGCCCGGATGCAGGCGGGCATCTCCCGGGTGGTACCCAGGCTGGGGCCTGGCGGAAGGATGCTCAGGGGCAAGTCCACATCCGAGGAAGGTCACCCAGGGCGACGTGGCCAGCGGGCCCCCGGCTCCCCGGCCCAGCTGGAGAAGGGGGTGCCGGGTCAGCAGCAGCACCCGTGTCCCCCCGCGGTCCCGGTGTCCCCCGCCATCGCAGCCCCGGGCCTGCGCGGCTTCGGCTCTCTCCTGCCCCGATGGCCGAGGCTTTGCCTGCCCCCAGATAGTGGAGGAAGCCGCTTTTGTGTGCAGGGGGCGGGTCCAGGCCTGATCGACAGTTCCAGCCCCCCTGCTCGCATCCTCCTCTCCCCATTGGCTGAGGGGAAAGCATATCTCCCAGCCACGTCCTGAGCAGGTGCAAAAAAAAAAAAAAAAAAAAAAAAATCCCCCGAGATGGTGCATCGCTCTTATGCAAATTCACAACAAGAGAGAAAACAAAAATAAAGGGACAAGCAGCCGTGGCCTGGTTCCTTACGAGGAGGGGGCGGGGGGCCTGCAGGGCTCTGTGGGGGGAGGGGAGAGGCGCCCTTGAAACCGTCTTCGAGGGCAGAGAAACGGAGGTTTTCAGACCCCCCTTCAAGGGCGAGGCTGGGAGTCGGGGTGCCGCGGGCCTGGCTGGGTTTTGTTTGAGATGGACTGGGTCCGGCCGCCGCGGGAACTGCGCCCCCTGCAGGTTTCCAGCGGAATCCAGGCGAGGAGGGAAGGATAGAGGGCGCAGTCTGCATCCCGGTCTCAACTGCGGAGGGCGCTGAGGCAGGGGGATTGCAGCTCAAGGCCAGGCAGGGCGACGCAGGGAGGCTAAGGTCAGCCTGGGCCAGACCCCATCTCGGAAGTGAGAAGAGGGTTCGTGGGGATGGTTCAGCGGGAAAAGCGCTCCCTGTGCGAGCGCGGGACGCCGGGCCGGGAACCCTGGAAGCCTGTGTGGCTGTGAGCGCCTGCGGGAGGAGGCTGGGGGCCACGGAGGAAGACACGTGACACCAGCCGCCGTCCTCTCGTGCGCATTGGCGCACACACGCACCCACAAAAATTTAAGTAGGGAGCTGGGGGCGTGGTCAGGGTGGAGCCCCGCCTAGAACCCAGTGAGGGGCTGGGGGCGTGGTCAGGGTGGAGCCCCGCCTAGAACCCAGTGAGGGGCTGGGGGCGTGGTCAGGGTGGAGCCCCGCCTGGAATCCCCAGTGAGGGGCTGGGGGCGTGGTCAGGGTGGAGCCCCGCCTAGAATCTCCCAGAGAGGGGCTGGGGGCGTGGTCATGGTGGAGCCCCGCCTAGAATCTCCCAGAGAGGGGCTGGGGGCGTGGTCATGGTGGAGCCCCGCCTAGAATCTCCCAGAGAGGGGCTGGGGCGTGGTCAGGGTGGAGCCCCGCCTAGAATCTCCCAGAGAGGGGCTGGGGGCGTGGTCAAGGTGGAGCCCGGCCTAGAATCCTCCAGTGAGGGGCTGGGGGCGCGGTCAGGGTGGAGCCCCGCCCAGAACCCCAGTGAGGGGGCTGGGGGCGTGGTCAGGGTGGAGCCCCGCCTAGAATCTCCCAGAGAGGGGCTGGGGGCGTGGTCAGGGTGGAGCCCCGCCTAGAATCTCCCAGAGAGGGGCTGGGGGCGTGGTCAAGGTGGAGCCCGGCCTAGAATCTTCCAGTGAGGGGCTGGGGGCGCGGTCAGGTGGAGCCCCGCCCACCTAGAGTCCCCAGGGAGGGGCTGGGGCGTGGTCAGGGTGGGCGTGGTCAGGGTGGAGCCCTGGCCCTGTCTCCAGGTGGGAGAGAAGCTCCTCCCCGAGTCCAGGAAGAGCCAATCCCGGCCCAGTCTGGTCCCCAGACCCTGACAGGTGGTGTCACTTCCTTTTCCCCAGGTAACTAACGTGACCCTCCCAGGAGAGCCCCGCGGCTCTCCCCGAGCATGCCGGGACGTCGTTCCCTCCGCACAGCCTTAGCTGGTGCCGTCCACACCCGGATCTCCGACTCTGATGACCGGCCGTGGACCACTCACGGATGCCCGTCCCGGCGTGGACCAGTCACGGATGCCCGTCCCGGCGTGGACCAGTCACGGATGCCCGTCCCGGCGTGGACCACTCACGGATGCCCGTCCCGGCGTGGACCAGTCACGGATGCCCGTCCCGGCGTGGACCAGTCACCGCTGCCCGTCCCGGCGTGGACCAGTCACGGATGCCCGTCCCGGCGTGGACCAGTCACGGATGCCCGTCCCGGCGTGGACCAGTCACCGCTGCCCGTCCCGGCGTGGACCAGTCACGGATGCCCGTCCCGGCGTGGCTCAGACACGGATGCCCGTCCCGGCGTGGACCAGTCACGGATGCCCGTCCCGGCGTGGACCAGTCACGGATGCCCGTCCCGGCGTGGACCAGTCACGGATGCCCGTCCCGGCGTGGACCAGTCACGGATGCCCGTCCCGGCGTGGACCAGTCACGGATGCCCGTCCCGGCGTGGCCGTCCCCAACACCCACTCCCAGGACTTTGCACCCCCCACCCTGAAGCTGCCTTCCCATCCCACGCTGACTCCATCACCTCCCCTGCTCTGGGTCTGACGACCCGGGGCCTCCTGGGCGTGGGATCCCGCCTCGTGCGTCCTCTGCGTCTGTCTCACGACACTGACATGCTGTCCTCGAGGCCGTCCGCCCCTCCTGGAGCATGGCTCTGGTTCCCTTCCTTCTTCTGGGCTGAGTAATGCTCCGTTTTGTGTGTTTCCTTCAGTCCGGATACATCACCTTGCAGAACGAGCCCCGAACAACCACCGCGTGCACGTCTGGCGCTGTTGGGGACTCCGGGGCAGAAAGCAGGGGCACAGGTCTGTAATAAATAGAAGAGATACACGTGACCCAGAGAGGCGGCCGCAGCGGCCTGGGAAGACGTGGGGCTAGAGGCCACGCGTGCTCAGGACAGGGGTGGTCACGTGCCGCTCACGTGCCCTCTCAGCCTTGCTGCACCGAGGGGACGCGGGCTGGCGATGCGGACCGCAGGCCAGGGGCTTGCCCAGTGCTGGACCAGGGCGCAGGGGGCGGGGCTTGTGAGGGGGCGGGGGCCATGCGGAGGCCTCCACAGAGGTGGGGTCCGTGGGGAGAGGCGGGGCTTGTGAGGGGCGGGGCCATGCGGAGGCCTTCACAGAGGTCGGGGACCGTGGGGAGAGGCGGGGCTTGTGAGGGGCGGGGCCATGCGGAGGCCTCCACAGAGGTCGGGGACCGTGGGGAGAGGCGGGGCTTGTGAGGGGCGGGGCCATGCGGAGGCCTCCACAGAGGTGGGGGATCTGGGCAGGGGGCGGGGCCTGTGAGGGGGCGGGGCCAGGCGGAGGCCTTCACAGAGGTCGGGGACCGTAGGGAGAGGCGGGGCTTGTGAGGGGCGGGGCCAGGGTGAGGCCTTCACAGAGGTGGGGGTCCATGGGGAGAGGCGGGGCTTGTGAGGGGCGGGGCCAGGGTGAGGCCTTCACAGAGGTGGGGTCCATGGGGAGAGGCGGGGCTTGTGAGGGGCGGGGCCAGGGTGAGGCCTTCACAGAGGTCGGGGACCGTGGGGAGAGGCGGGGCTTGTGAGGGGCGGGGCCATGCGGAGGCCTCCACAGAGGTCGGGAATCTGGGGAGGGGCGGGGCTTGTGGAGGGGCGGGGCCGGGCGGAGGCGCTCAGTTTAGGGATGGCGGGTTGGGGCGGGGCCTGGGCGGGCGCGGGGCGGGCGCGGGGCGGGGCGTCGGGCAGGCCCGTGACGTCACTCCCGCGGGCTCCGGGAGGACGCGGACATGGCGGCCAGCAGCTCTTCCGGCCTCGCGCAGGGCGCCGGCCCGTCGTCCAGGTAACGAGCCCCGCGGGCGGCAGGGCGTCCCAACCCCGCGGGACGCGGTCACGAGTCACGGGGATCGGGGCGGGCCCGAGGCGGGGCGATGGTCCCTGGGGTCCGCGGGAGGGCGGGGCGGGGTAACGTGGATGGGGGGCTGGGTGGGGGCGGGGACCGTGGGGACCCGGCCAGCCGAGGAGGCACCGACCTGGGTCGGGGAGCAGGGCCTGGAGGACGGAGCTGGGGGAGGGGCTGACCTCAGAGAGGACCTGAGATCGTGGGGAGCCTTCCGAGCGGGGATAGGGTGGGGGTTCCGGTGTCTGGTTGGGGGGGACCCTCCAGACGGGGATGGAGGGGGGCCTGGTGTGTGGTGGAGGGGGGAGTCCTGGTGTCTGATGGGGAGATGGAGGGGGAGTCCTGGTGTCTGATGGGGGGAGTCCTGGTGTCTGATGGAGGGGGGAGTCCTGGTGTCTGATGGGGGGAGTTCTGGTGTCTGATGGAGGGGGGAGTCCTGGTGTCTGATGGGGGGAGTCCTGGTGTCTGATGGGGGGAGTTCTGGTGTCTGATGGGGGGAGTCCTGGTGTCTGATGGAGGGGGGAGTCCTGGTGTCTGATGGGGGGAGTTCTGGTGTCTGATGGGGGGAGTCCTGGTGTCTGATGGAGGGGGGAGTCCTGGTGTCTGATGGGGGGAGTTCTGGTGTCTGATGGAGGGGGGAGTCCTGGTGTCTGATGGGGGGAGTCCTGGTGTCTGATGGGGGGAGTTCTGGTGTCTGATGGAGGGGGGAGTCCTGGTGTCTGATGGGGGGAGTTCTGGTGTCTGATGGGGGGAGTCCTGGTGTCTGATGGGGGGAGTCCTGGTGTCTGATGGAGGGGGGAGTCCTGGTGTCTGATGGGGGGAGTTCTGGTGTCTGATGGGGGGAGTCCTGGTGTCTGATGGGGGGAGTTCTGGTGTCTGATGGGGGGAGTCCTGGTGTCTGATGGGGGGAGTCCTGGTGTCTGATGGGGGGGATGGAGGGGGAGTCCTGGTGTCTGATGGGGGGAGTCCTGGTGTCTGATGGGAGATGGAGGGGGAGTCCTGGTGTCTGATGGGGGGAGTCCTGGTGTCTGATGGGGGGTCCTGGTGTCTGGTTCGGGGGGTCCTGGTGTCTGATGGGGGGGAGTCCTGGTGTCTGATGGGGAGATGGAGGGGGGAGTCCTGGTGTCTGGTTCGGGGGTCCTGGTGTCTGATGGAGGGGAGTCCTGGTGTCTGATGGAGGGGAGTCCTGGTGTCTGATGGGGGGAGTCCTGGTGTCTGATGGGGGGAGTCCTGGTGTCTGATGGGGGGAGTCCTGGTGTCTGATGGGGGGAGTCCTGGTGTCTGATGGAGGGGGGTCCTGGTGTCTGATGGGGAGATGGAAGGGGAGTCCTGGTGTCTGATGGGGGGAGTCCTGGTGTCTGATGGGGGGGATGGAGGGGGAGTCCTCCAGATGGGGGTGGACTGGG